CACTCAGTTGTTTTTAGGGATGCACAAATGACCTACAGGTTTTGCGACACCTTAAGGAACCAGTACAACGACTGAGAGAGTAGAGAATGCAGAGCCAGAGTGGTGGGACTTATATGAGAAATGATTTAGAAATTTATGAAATTCAGAGATTCATTCTTATCTCAGGAATTACAAATATAACATCAGCATGGTGGGGCTTCCATCTAAGAAACAGAGTCAGAAAACATGAGCTAGTCAGAAAACATGGCTACCATGAGAATTAAGATTTCAAGACTCTGCCGCTTTTCTATGTTATTCTCTTTATTTTCCAAAAGTGATTAGCATTAAAATTCTCAGATCTGTGGACTGATATTCAGGTACAAGAAGCACATCTCCTATTTCAAGGTTAGTTTGGGGGTGAGGCAAAGCAGGAAGAAACCCAAGAAATGGAAGAGGTGATGATTCTGAGCAGGCGAGAAGGCAGGTTGAGTTTTTGAGGATGTAGAGGGAAGAAGGAAATGAAAGCCTTCAAGCCAGGGTAGCCTTGGCAATGACTGGGCACGTGATTAGAAAAATCAAAATGAAGTTCCATGGACTAAGTTGTGACCCTCCCACATTCATATGTTGAAACCCTCACTCCCCATGTGTTGGTATTTGGAGAAAGGGGACTTTGGGAGGTGATTAGGATTAGATGAGGTCATGTAGGTAGGGCACTCATGATGGATTTAGTGTCTTTATAAGGAGAGACTCTCGCCAGCCTGCTCACACTCACTTACGCACATGCTCTCTCTGTGCACACAAAAATGAAGAGGTGATGTGAGTGTACAGCAAGATGGCTGCCGCCCACAAGACAAGAGAGGAGGCCTCAGAAGGAAACCTATCTTGCAGCAACTTGATCTTGGTCTTCCAGCCTCCAGAACTGTGAGAAACACATTTCTGTTGTTTAAGCCACCCAGTCTATGGTGTTTTGTTATGGCAGCCCAAACCGACCAAAACCAAAGAGAATCTACATAGCTCTTCCACTATCTGACTGCAGACCCAATGGGGCGAAGTCAAAACTCTGTGTCTTTCCCTGTAGCACATTTCCCTCTGCACATCCTTACTTATTGAAAAAATATCCACCTAAGATGCCACACGAACTCTCCACAAACATTAACTCAGGTAAGGTATTTTTCTTACTTCTATTTTTATAGATGAGGAAGCCAAAGTACAGCATTAATAAACTGAGCAAGATCATATAACCAGCAAGTATCAGATTTGGGATTCCACCCCAGGAAGTCTGGCTCCAGGATCTGTGCTCTTAACCCCTCAGCTGTGCTGACTTTCCCCACATTTCTTTGGTGTTCATTGAGCCACAAACTGTACAGTTATCTTTGCCACTACAATGATTCATTTGTATTCTTTGTTTTCCTGCTATGCCCAAGAATCACTTATTCAAGATTTTTCCTCCATGAAATAACCCATTCTTATCTGCCAGTAACCATATAACTTGTTTTCTGCTATGTGTTCACTTTTACTGGAATAGTGAAAATAACATTGAATATAATAAATGGATCATCAATGCCAGAATAAAAGCATTCAATTATAGAAAAGGTGGAGTTCTAAATTCAGATTATTCATAGATCATATAAAAAGGGTGGTTCTTTAATTTAAAAACAAACAAAAAAACATGAGAAATGAGAAAACACATAGGATATAAAAGTCATTCTTGGTCATATTGAAGAATTTTTAAAGACAAGGGCAAGTCCAAGGCTTGATATTTTTTTCCCTTTGGTTCAAAAAGCCTATTGCAATTAAATTCTATTAATTAAGATAATAGAGTTGAAGGCAACAAACACCCAATGAGAAATGAAAAAACAAATCATCCTACCTGCTGACGTGTGTTTGAACTTTTCGCTTTTCTTCTTCCTCCATTTCCAAGGCTTGAAAATCCTTCCCAGGTTGGCAAACTTACTTCTCCTGCGGATGGGTGGGGTGTGGGTGCCTGGGACGAGGGAGTCAGAACGCATCGCCGCCAGCCTCTCCACTTCCTCAGCTTGTTATTTCCAAGAAAGAGATGAAAATAAAGAGAGAAAAAGAGTGTTAAAATGAGAGCCTCACAGATGGCCAACGTTTTCCATGGTTACAGATAACAGAAACCACGTGACCAGAGTTTCTTTTTGCCTTTTGGAATGGAAGTCATACCAGTGTGTTCTGAAGCCTGAGGACAGTTGGCCAAACCCTAGAGATTCAGAACACCCCAGCCAAATTTGCTCAACTTCTACCTAGGCTGGAGGAGGAAGAGAAAGAGGAGGAGAGCTCTTTGGACAAGTCAAGGACTCCCGCCCAAAACAGGGAGAGGCCACCAGAAGATTCAAATGAGTGTAATAACTGGTCCAGCAATTTCTCAAATGAGACTTGGCAAATGCAATCACTACAGCACTGTCTGCTGAGAAAAAAGAAGACAGAAAACATTTATCAACTGTCTATTCCAAAGCCAATGTCTCCAACACCCACTGCTCTCTACTTCCTACTACCTGGCTTTACCTAGACCTTCAGCAGCACTGAAATCTGTTAAGCAAGTGACTGTACTTTAGGATTACTGATTTATTTTAGAATCACTCACACTTCCATTAGATTTTACAATTGTCTTAATTCCACTAGTTTTTCTTTTCCTAGAGTCTTGCTAAAAAAAAAAAAAATTCTTAGAAATTGAGAGCTGGGGGTATCTTTAGGGAAAATCTACGCTAATCCCAATAATGGAACACTTGAGCATATTCAGACTTTCAATCTCATAATGCCCAGTGGACCCTTCCTTAAAGGTCACAATCATCCCAACCTCTTTTTACCACATGAAATAAAACTAACTCTTTTCCATATTTACAGAGTCCAATACCCCAACTTAAATTTTTAAGGAAGGAATAATCAGAGAAAACAAGCTCTTTGGCAAAATTGAGGGCGTGGATTCAACTTCCCAGACAGCAAAACGGTATCTGAAGCCGTGGCAAATCCCAAACCACTTTGTTTGGCCTTGACCATAGTCTCTCAGAAAAAATCATCCAGACTTCTGCAACCTACGCATTCCTTGCAAGTTCAACCTGTCAATGACTACATAAAAATGATAGTCTGCTTGTTGTGGTCTGAACATAGTTTTAACTCAGGAGGTCCATTCATTCAATACATATGCAATTTTGAGTGTGTGCTGTGGCAGTTGTATTGGTGACAGATGTGATAAGCTAGTAAGAGCTCCCCACAGCAGGACTGAAAGAAAGCAGATGGAATTGAGAGACACGTCAGAAGCAAAGTCAAAAGAACTTAGTGACTGATTGAGTGACCTGAAGGACTGGAGGCAGATCATTGGCAATTCCCAGATTCGGGTCAGCAGAGTAGTACCCTTCATTCATAGAGATTAGGAAGACAGGGGAAGGCACAGGTTTAGGGGTGAGGGCAGCCATGATTTGGACATATTGCAATGAAGAAGGCACTTAAACCTTTTACTACCTGGTTTAACGCACTGGGAGCTCCTTTTTCAATCATTTAATTAAGTGGCCACTTAAATCTCTGCCAGACACTATGACCATTTCTGGGGAAGACACACAGGAAAACCAGTCTTGAGCACAGAGTCCCAAGGAGGAGACAGAGGGATCAGTGTGTAAGAACATACCACAACAGAGCTACGATGTAAAACTCAATGGAGGTGAAGAGGATCCAAGAGCAACTAATTCTGCTTCACAGCATTGGAGAAGACCTCGAGGGAGGTCACTTTGGGCTTAAGTTTTGAAAGAGGAGGGACTGTTCTCCCTGCAAAGGGAAGAGGGAGAAGTGGATCCCTGGGAGGAGAAACAGATCCAACAGGAACAGAGAGGGCTGAAAGCACGGAACGTCTGGGGACTTGAAGGAACTCAGTCAACTGTGAGCCTCAGTGACGTTAGGTGAGATGAAGCACTAATGGAGAGAGAGTGGGGTTGGAGGGTCTGCAACCAGATCATGCAAGCTCTTGAAATGAATTGGCATTTGGGGTTCACCCTCTGAGCAGAGGGACAAGGAGAATTTGAAAATGGGAAACTGGTATTATTACATTCAACCAAAATGTATTGCATGCTCACTCTGTACCAGATGCTTAGACTATGAGGTAAACAAAACAGATAAAAATACCAATTCATAGAGTTCACATGCGGAAGTAGGGTGAAGGGCAGACAGCAAACACTGAAACCAAATAAATTATAGAGTATGCCAGAAGATACTTGCTTTGGGGAAAAAAATAATGAGTGGAACCTGGTAAAGTAGATCAAGAGTACCTGGCATGGAATGGGGTGGGAGGTCGGCCTGATTGAGAAGGGCCGACCCTCCCATTCCACGCCAGGTACTCGAGAATGGGGGTGTCAGCCTGATCAGGATGCAACTAGATTTGTTTCTTAGGAATATCATTGCAGCAGCAAAGGTAACCTGACTCGGAATATGGGGAAATCCTTGACAGCGAGAACCATCAGGAAGACACTGCAATCACAGTGACTAGGATTCAAGCAGGAGCATGACAGAAGGATAGGAAGAAAAGATGAGATTCAGCCAGGTGGGAGAATCAGCAGATTTGGTAACTCTCTGGATAAACATGAGCAAGAGCCAGGAAGTGAGAATGGCTAACATTTTTAGTTTTCATGACTAGGTCAATGTGATGATTTTACATGTTTTAAAGAATTTGATGATAAAGGAATAAGCAGAATAGGATGGCAGCTCAGTGGGGACAAGAACTTTGCAGCCAGATAATTCAGTATTTTTGCAAAGGCTCTTTAGGGGTTAGAACTTTATTTCCTGAGGTAATGAAGAACTATTGAGAGGAAATTGGCCAAGGTAGGAAGGAGAGACTTGATTTGGGGGTCAGTAGGCTGAGCTGCCAGAGCCAGGGGAAAGTGAGAGACCGAAGATGTAGAATAAAGGCTGAGACATGTATGAAACATGGTTCTTAGGAAGGAGGAGAAGTGGGATCAAAAGTGCACAAAAGTATAAGTGATCAGAAGATTTTATGCTGAGTGATTGAAAGTCTGAACTGAAGTGTCTGATCACAAATGGCATAGATCAGATGTGGGCCTCAGGGAGAATAATCTAGCAGCAGTGGTAAAATAACGGATTATTGGAGGCTAAAGGAGGAAGATAAAAGATTCAGAAGGTTTTAAGTATGGCTGTGGAATGGCTGAGGAGAGTGGTAACAATATCAACAACACAGCTACGACAAGGAATAAAAAAGAAATCAAATCAGGCAAGTAAATGGCCTCAGAAGTAACACTGAATTTGAGCATTCTGCTTTTTAAATGGCATCAGCTGCTCGAGTTGGTGCTTCTTCAACAATGTCAGCAGAGCCACATAAGTAGTGATAATTGCGGGAAACCAAAGCAAAGAGGTATTGAGTCCAGGAGGGAAGCAAAGTCACCACAGTCCAGAGGTCTGATTCTCCCAAGGTCACCTCTTCCATACTCATCACTTTCCCCCGCATTTCTTACCTTGGTGAATAGTCTTTTTGTTGCTTTTGTCCAGATTGTACAAGTCTCCAAACCTACATTGCCAGACTTACTCTCCTGCCTTCAAACCTGTATTGGATACTTTCACTAGAAGTCTGTTCCTTGTAGGAACTACAAGTGGCTTCCCACAGCATACAGTAGGAAGTTCTAATGTCCTATATTAGCCTTCAGACAAGGCCAATAATCACTTATTCAAGCTTTTTTCCTCCATGAAATAACCTATTTTTTGTATTAAAAGAGCCTGACTTATTACTCTCAACCTGAGTAAGCTGCTCAGAATGATCTTCTAGCACTTCTCTAAACACGGTTGTAGTCAAAATGAAATGCTCCCATTTGCTTGGAAGATTTCCTATCATTCTTTGATTCTCAAAAGAGCCTAAGACACAAAAGGTGAAGTTGTAAAAATATTCAGTTTGAGAATTCTCTGAGTTCAGCCAACATAAAACATCTGCTAAAGGTTAAAGAGAGATTATACACAGAATCCTTTAAAAAAATCAAGAGAGGAATTATTCAGGGTTGATACTGAGTTTGCTTCTCATGGTTGGCACTCAATAATGACTTATTAAATAGATAACTGGATAACTGCATTTGATTCAATTCATTCCCTCACATCTTCAGAGGTATGAAAATAAGTATCGTTATTTGTCTTTAAAAAAAAGTGCCATGAGAACCAAAAGGCTGTTCCACAATCACATCTTTAAGAAATGGATACAAATTATTCTGAAATTGCCCCATTAAAATAATGATATGAAGTTAGAAGTGTCTTTGAAAAACCAAGAGTGGCAAGGAACAGAGGGTATTATAAAGGTATAATTATAACTCAGTAGTTAAATGAATCCTTAATAAGTATTATTATGAAATTCATGATGTTTAGCTCTTAAATTCAGTAGATTATTAAGCAGACTGGATCACATTAGGTTTAGTTGATTTATATTTTAATCACCCCATTACATTTTTCTTCAATTCATTTGATGATGGGGGCTAGCTTCGCCATCAGATAATGATATTGGAAGGCTTAAGTGTGAGGATGGCTCAAGAATGAGCCAATTTGTGAATACAGTTTGAAAAGGAAGGGAAGGCTTGGTGCAGTGGCTCACGCCTATAATTACAGCACTTTGGGAGGTCGAGGCAGGTGGATTACCTGAGATCAGGAGTTCAAGATCAGCCTGGCCGACATGGTGAAACCCTGTCTCTACTAAAAATACAAAAAATAAGCTGGGTGTGGTGGCAGGTGCCTGTAATCCCAGCTACTGAGGCTAAGGCAGGAGAATCGCTTGAATCCAAGAGGTGGAGATTGCAGTGAGCGGAGATTGCACCATTGCACTCCAGCCTGGGTGACAAAAGCGAAACTCCATCACACACACACAAAAATAAAAATAAAAAAATAAAAAGAGAGAGAGAGAGAGAGAAAAGAAAAGGAAGGGTTAAAAAAACAAACAAACAAAAAAAACAAGGGTTCAGAATAAAGTGTTCTCCCACTGCAGGAACCAGAGAAAGAAAGGGATGAAGGCAAGTGGGAGAGCAAGGTGCAGCCTGCCATGTTTTGGAATCACAAACAGCCTTCCTTGGAAATGGAGCATGTAAAGACAGCTTCGCTTCGGCCTGCTCAAAGGTGGCTACCTTATGCTGTCTGGAGAAAATGCTGAGCCACACATGAATCAGCTTGAATGTCAACTGCCAGGACTGAGCATGTTGAATCAAAACGTTGGAAGCTGGGCAGCTGAGCTCCTTCAGAAGGGTGAAGTGAGGAGCGAGCCATGGGCAAGCAAACTCCTGGGGTCTTTCCTGCTCTACCACCCAAGAGAACGCTCTTTAAAGGACCACACAGTTTGGGCTCCCATTTATGACAAAACTGGATTTTGTTTTATCCATAGGGTGGAAATGATTAGGAGATTATTTTTCTTTCTCCTTAGAAAGGCTAGAAAGAAAATATTTGATGTGTGCATGATTTTAATGAACAAGAACCAAAGCACCTAGGCCTGATGGTGTTCTGAACCCCAGCCCTTGTGGCAGCTTGGGATGACTCTTGGTGGGCTCCTAGGGCCAAATAGTAAGTACTTTAGGCTTTATGGACCATATGGTCTCTGTTGAAGTGGGAGGAGCTGGGCCAGGGGCACTCCTCAGGTACACCATATTTCTCATGGTGGTTTGGCTTTCAAAAGGCATGTGCAAGGATGGCACCACCTTGGCTTCCTGCTGGCCTAGAAAGTGCTAGTCATACAGTGTCCCAGGGAGCAACCTGGAATGAAGGAAGCATGGTGTCTGTGCCATCTCATGTCTAGTCAGAGTCAGCACCAGAGGCAGGAGCGCAGCCCATTTGGGACCCCAGTGGAGATCTCTCCATGTGCTAAGTGCTCCTAGGGTTTTTGGAGGACCTAAGATTCTCATAGATTGGATTCTTGTTTCTTAATCCTAAGTGAACTCAATAACAGAACGTTTCTGTTGCAGGATCTGATAACCTTCACTTTTGCTTGTAATTAGAAGGGGTTATATATCCCCCTTATTTCACCACCCTAGGAATGGGAACCAAAGATCAGAGTGGAGGTAAGCTAGGCTGTCAGCTCACTATGCTGAAGCAGCACTGCCTTTTTTTTTTTTTTTTTTTTTTTTTGAGACAGGGTTTTGCTCTGTCACCCAGGCTGGAGGCTGGAGTGCAGTGACACGATCTCAGTTCACTGCAACCTCCACCTCCCAGGTTCAAGCCATTCTCATGCCTCAGCCTCCCGAGTAGCCGGGACTACAGGAATGCACCACCACGCTTGGCTAATTTTTGTATTTTTAGCAGAGACAAGGTTTCACCATGTTGTCCAGGCTTGTCTTGAACTCCTGGCCTCATGTGATCCACCTGCCTTGGCCTCCCAAAGTGCTGGGACTATAGGTGTGAGCCACCACGGCTGGCCTGCACTGCCTTTTCCTGTCCTGCAAAATGATGCCGCACAGGTGCCCAGACATTCAGAAAGGTCCCTTTTATAAATGTACTGTCACTTTCAGAGCTACTTTATCACAAACAAATTAAGGGTTAATATGAATTATCAGATGAGGACACTATTTTTCCTTTTTCACTCTAGAATAAGTTATACCATACTCTTATAGAGGCTAGATCTCTTGGAAGAGTTTCTGACAACCTAGAATTGATTAACCAGAAGAGTTTTTTGTTTTTTGATTTTTATTTAAAAAAGAGTAAAACATGTTTATTCTAAAACTCCAGAGTGCCTATCTGGTTTCATTAGGAATGGGATGGGGACTTAAAGTGGGGAGTGGATGGGACAAGGATTGGGTATTAAAGAGGGAAAACGATGGGGACAACAGAGACTCTTTTAGCACAGAGAGGCTGCCTGGTTAAAGGAAAAATATATGCCACAAAGGAGCTAGGAGATAAATCAACAAGGCTGTGTTGTCCAAGAGCTATTAAACACAGAAACGATGCCTGAGTGCTCATGTTAACATCGGTGAGTACGAGGATCACTGACCTTCACTGCCCTCACCTCCTCCTTTGAGGCTCTTTTGCACCTCTGTGCACCACCCTCCTCCTCCCCATCCCTTAGCGTCCAGTCAAAGAGGGATCCAATTTATGTATTAGCACCAAGCTGTGGACACTGCTACTGGCTGAGCAAGTGGTAATGAGACAGCAACATTTAACTAAGGGTTTATCTGTCTGAATCCAAAGACTGGATGACTTGAGTAATGCAAGTCCTGGTGGGGATGGGGAGGAGGAGGGAGCTCTGGTGCTCCTCAGCTGCTTGGACACACAGGTGGCTATGTTTTCTACCTGGGAACCATCAGAGGAAATTCCATTTACATTCCACAAAAAACACCACCCACACCCCAGACGCAACCATTACGCCACATCATGACATTTGGCAGTCTTCCCCACTATGTCTCTGGAGGGGGAGGTCAGCGTTTACATTGAGAGAGTTCAATCTTATTGCTTACAAGAATGGTAGTCCTCATGCGGGATGAAGCAATAATGTGTGCATGCCTATACGATAGAGTCCTGTGGGCTGGGAGGTGGTGGTAGAAGGGAGGGAAGCTGCAAATACCTGGACCCAAACTTCTCAGCAGATTTGCCCAGGCACTTGGCCAACTTCCTCCTTTGTCTCTGGCTTCTACAGAGTTCTGCCTGGTAAAGGCAGCTCTAGTCACTGCCAGGGGCAAGTCCCTAGGGATGTTTTCATCACAGGTGTGCTGCTGCCTCCTGCACTGTGAACAGGCAGAGCTGCCCTTTAGTGGTCACCTGGGAAAACACCGTGCTGATATACAATGCGGGGAGATGGGAAGGAAGGGAAACTCAGGGGTCCATGGGTCCAAAGATGGCTCAAGTCATGTTTCTGTTAATTTGCTCCTGAAGCATGAATTGACAGCCAAGAAGAGCACAAGAACATCCATAAATCCTGGTGCCCTAAGATGTACCAATTTTAAAGAAAGCAAGAAGGTAGCTCTACTGGTTTTGGAATCATAGGCCACTGTATCAGAAAGAGGCCACATGACCAATGTGGTTTATGGCACTCTGCATTTCCTCCTAACAGGAGGGGGGATTCTAAACGGTATAGTGCTTCCTTAGGTATTGGCGCTGATGACTACTATGATGGTAAAGATCATAATTGATGATGATGAGGAGGAGGAGGATAACAGCATTCATAATAGCTAACATTTTTCAGTCGCTAAGTCTATTCCACTGATCTAAGCACTTAAAATGTGTTACCTTATATAATCCTCAAATTAAACTTGTGAGCTAGGGCTATATATTATCCCCATTTTAGAGCTGGAGAAATTGAGAAGGGACTAATGAAGAGGAAAAAGTGATTCTCGAAAGAAGAGAAACACATGCTTTTAATTAAGACATGCCTATTTGCAAGAATATCTCCTCAATGTGTGCGAGTCTGGCTTTTTGAATCTTTGTATTACTCACTAAAGTAGTAAGAGGGCTTCAGGGATGAGGGAGGAAATGAGCTGCTTTTTCAAAAAGGCTGCAAAACAGATGTCAATTATAAATTGATCCTACTCTAGCAAGAGAAAAGAGGTGCTGTCTTACCCTAAATTGTCATAATATAGATGTACACCTGTCTGTAGGTGCCCTGGAGAATACCCGCCCTAGATCACTAGGACAAGAAGAACCGGTAGGACATTATCTACTAAGGACCTGTGCCACAAGCTACAATCATGAACTCAGCAGGTGCCAGTCAGGCCTGGAACAGGCTCAGATCTTCTTCACTTAGAAAATGCTAACCATCGTGTATAGGGGAATAATATTATGAAACCAGGAGGATGAGGGTCCAGATCCGGAATCTACCACCTAATAGCTACTGGTGGAGATGAGTTCTTTCTGGCCCCCATCAGGTTGCAAGGGCTTCCTAATTCTCCTCTGGAGAGTCACTCCTCCTCTCCTTGCACTCTGGGTGGTTCAGGAAGTTCATTTCCGTCCTGACGCCAAAAGCGGGCATGTGACCCAGTGCTGGCCAATCAGAGCATTGCATCTCCAACCTCCACCCACAGTAATTCATTCAGGGATGAGCCATTGAGCTTGGCTAGACAATGAGACTCAATGCTGGATTTTGTTGGAACCACTGATAAACATGCTCTTTCAACTGGGATTGCAGATTACATAGGCTCTAAGCCTAGTCAATGTAGGGGTCACAAACTGAAACATCTTCATTTAGCCTTGGTTAATGTTAAAAGAATCTCCAGGTCACAATGATGATTCATAAGCTTTGAGAAGAAACAGCCCTATTATGTCAAATACTTCATATTTCCTAAGAACTGTGTTGGAAGGATGAAGATATTTCCATTCCATGAACACAGGGCAATGAAGAGAGCATATTGTGAATGGACCAGACAGGGAGGAAAGTTTCTATTCACATTTAAAATTATAAAATGTAAAATATTTAAATTTAAAATTATACAAGTTCTATATTGTTAAACTTACTGAGCTAATAGATGTTATTATCAACATTCTTCCTTAGATATTCAGTACAAACTTCTTGTTTTATCTCCCAGGAATGTATCTTTCAACCACTAACACATATAATGACTACAAAAACTTATAAACCATTCTGTTGTTCATTTAATCTATAGAATAAATTTGTGTTGGGAACAGAACTTATTTAAAATGTAGATAAACTCCCAAGTCTTGTGTTAAACCAAAGCAACAATCTTTAAATAACGTAGACCCTTTTTTCATCTTAAATTCATAGACCCTAGGGTCTGATCTTCTTTTTGCAGTTAAATAAATAGTGCCTTTCACAGACTCAAATCCCACCTCAACAAAGCCTGGTTTCCCCTGCAGGGGTGAGCAAACTCTTTCTGTTAAGCCAAATAGTAAGTACTTTAGGCTTTATGGACCATATAATCTCTGTTGAAGTACTCTACTCTGCTGATGCACTGTAAAAGCAGCGGTAGACTAATATGCCCAAATGGGCATGTCTGTGTTCCAATAAAACTTTATTTATAAAAACAAGCACCTGGCCTGCATGGCCATAGCTTGTCAACCCTTGTCCTATAGAGCTATGGGTAATCTTTCAGACCCCACAACCCTTTTCTTTTTCTTTCTTTTTTTTTTTTGAGACATAATCTCACTTTGTCACCCAGGCTGAAGTGCAGTGGCTCAATCTCAGCTCACTGCAGCCTCCACTTCCCGGGTTCAAGCAGTTCTTGTGTCTCCACCTCCCAAGTAGCTTGGATTACAGGTGCACACCACCACACCCAGCTAATTTTTGTATTTTTAGTAGAGACAGGGTTTTTCCATATTGGCCAGGCTGGTCTCAAACCCCTGACCTCAAGTGATCCTCCCACCTCGGCCTCTCAAAGTGCTGGGATTACAGGCGCAAGCCACCATGCCCAGCCCTTTCAGTCACTTTAATGGCAGAGGCTGCCTAAGAATGGAGCCACAACAGAGACAAAGAGAACAGAGATGACTCAATGAAACTGAAACCTCATTACATCACTTGGTCTTCTGGATCCAGCCCTACCTGAAACCATTATAACCCTGAATATTTACCTTATACAAAGCAATAAATTCTCTTTTTCACTTACACTAGGTTGAGTGGGGTTCTCTTTTACTTGCAACTAAAAAGCTTCTAACAAATTTACTGTGTGACCTTAGGAAAGTCCCATCAGCTTCCTCTCTGTAAAATGGGGATAATATAGACTTATAAAGATTAATAGGCATGTACTACAATCACTCTTTTGGGGCACAGAACATGGGCTCCACTAAAGTTAACTGAAAGTGAAAAGTCTCCTCTGGTATCAGTCAGACCACCTGGCTAATAAGGGTTCCACTAGGGGTGAAGTTCATTACCACTTCACCACTAGAATATCCCTTACGGACTTACATGAATTTAAAAAGTTTTGGAGGCTCTCAACTGTGCTGTCTCTTCAGACTAGTGGATCTCAAAATTTAGTGCATATAAGAATCAACTGAAGTACCTGTTAAGAATTTTAATCCCATTTCACACCTACAGAACCAGGAATATGAATGCATAAATAGGCAGCCCAGGTAATTTTGACGGCAGTGTTCTGAGAATCACTCTTTGAGACCTGCAGCACTCCTACTGAACCCTAGGATCCTACTCCCTTCTTACCAACTATATCCATTGCCTTCAGGTGGCTGGCTAAGAAGAAAGATCCTTAGTATAGAAAATTCAGTCATACTTCAGTGGTGTCTGCCAGTCCCGAAAACCTGAAATCACTGGGAATTATTTTAAAATGCCTAATGTTCATGTAGTGCTTTATTCTAAGTGCTTTCAGATCTATTATCTCATTAGATCTTCACAACACCCCCATTATGTAGGTAGGGCATAACATTTCATTTGTTTCTCTATATATGACTATGGTACTATTTTCTCCAAGAATTGAATTACAATTTAGCCTTTTAATGGCTCTCAGAAGGTCTGTAGTAAACCTTTTAAACTCTGTTAAACCCTTTATTTTCCAAACTTAATTTAATCACAAATATGGTTGGCTGGTGGTTTTTTTGTGGGACACCATTAAGATCTCACAGACTTGTGTTCCATGAAACACAATTTATCAAATGTTGAGTATCTTTTTGTACCATTCTATAGTTAAAGGAACGGAGATACAGAGGAGTCAAGGGATTTGCCTAGAAT